GAGTCAGTAACATTAATTTCGGGTTTCGCAATTTTTACCTCTTTTACCGTATCATGTTCCTGTTTTTCATTAATAGCTTGTTTTTCATTTTCGACATCCTTGACATTTTCTGGATCATTATTATTGCCTCCAAAAAGATTTGGAAACATTCCATTTCGTTGGGGTGCACCTTTTTCTGAATCATTCTCCGAATCTTTCTTTTTATCTTTACTGCTTAAAGATAAATTAAATGGCTTCATCGATCCAAGAGACTCAATGCTATAAGTGATTTTATCACTAAATCCATAATCCATGACTTTACGTTTTGTTTTGACGGAATATTCATCTACATAATAAAACTTGTCGCAATCTACATCCGACTCATTTGAAATACTATTTTTTGTTGAGAGATTTGTTGATGAAGGATTCTTTAATGAACTAAGTAATAAGGAAAAGGATGCTGATGGTGCTGGTGCATGAAACTCCGAAACAGGTGTTACAGGGGCTGATTGCGATGATAATCGTTTGCTATCAGCACGCAACTTTGATAATTCATTTAAGTATCCTTGAGAACTAATAAAAATGAAATGAATGAAATTCATCTATAAACGTGTTAAAAAAAAAATTTAACCGCAAGCCACCATATACCTTAGTGTAAAAGCAATAATAGAACTTGGTTCATCTTCCCTAGTTATAACAGGTGACTCAGGAAAAACATAGTATTTGTCAGAACTATTCAAATAAAGACGTATTAGAATTTAATAAATATGAATGCTATTAAATAAATAAGAAATATGCCTTGAATATTCCGGTTCCATCCATTCAATTTCACTGAATTTTGCTAGATCTGACTCGACAAGATTTTCCTTTTGCCATTGCAACAATCGCTTTTTTGTATTCTTAATCTGATCAACTAGACTTCGTCGGACATTATTTAGAACTGTTGCATTTGTTTTTTTCAGTAGATCATAGAGTTTGAATTCTTCATCATAAAAACTCCTTGTAAGCTCATCTAATGTTTGAATTGCATGAATAGTTTTTTCGGACATGGAAGCTTCAATATTGCCACTGGTCTGTTCAACATGCAAAGATCGAAGATGTTCTTCCAGTGAAGTAATATGCCGTTTTACTGAAAGATAAAAATAGGTAATCTCCAATCTCGTTTCATTATTCAACCTTTTTGAATCTTCATCATCAATTGTAAAAAGTTGTTTGACTTCTTTTATCGAAGATGCAGCTTGCTTATCCAGAGATATTTGAAATTTTGGCAATCGCATTTCAAAAAGGTCTACATGTTCGTATTCTACTTTTACAATAAAATTACCTCTACGAAAACACCTAAGCAATGGATAACGCAATTCAACGTGTGAACATAAATTTTTGCAGGCGAAATCTTCATTATAATATAATAATTCGAGATATTTGGCAAAGGAATAGAAGTATGTTGAACGCGACATAATAAATACAGAGGATTTTTCAGAACATAACTTGCATTGAGTCCACATAAAAATTTGATTAGTGAAGGTTTTCAATTTAGGATCTGGCGATTCTTCAACGACAAGACTTATTCTTCCATCATTATGTGTATATGTGGATGTATGGTCAATTCCTCGGTGTTCACATGTTTTAGATTCACATGTCGCATAAGCTTTGTCACAAATCTCTTCAATAATTTCACCAAGAGATTTATCGATATTAGAATTAACCTTATTATAATAGTCCATTGTAATAATCTCATGATTGTGGCAAAGAACAGGTGATTCTGGTGACCAAAACCTGGCATATGAGCACGATAATGACTGATGTTTAAATACGCCTCTAAGTGTATTGCTATTCTTAGTCATCAAGTACGAAAGACCAGTTTTGAAATCTAGAGATACCTGTCCAGACCTGAATAATGGAGCATAAGTCCGATATTTTTCAATAGAATCCCAAACGTTATTAAAATTTATGCTTATATCACCCTCGTTATTCGAACGAGCGTCAGTCTCTTCCTCCTTTAATCTCATCAACAAATGAGGTGGTGGAAATTTTACTCCAGGAGATACAGACAAAATAGCAGTTTCCATTTGAGAGATTACTTTAGCAAAGTTGTGTGTTTTTAACATTATTGTATCATCATCATAGTCAATAATAGAAAGATTGGATTCCTTTGTAAACGATGAAGACCTGCTTATTGTAGACCACCTAACTAGAGATGATCCTTGTTTCTCATGTTTCTCATACTTTTCACGCTTCTCACGTTTTTCATAGGATTTAATCATTTGCTCTTTAGTATTTTGCAAATTGGTATGTTTCATTAACCATCCCAATAATGATGATTTTGAACGACGTCTAGAGGATCGTATTGTGTTTTTAACATCTTCAGCATCCTGGATATCTTCAACTTCATCGTGGGCAATAGAATGATCCCGATATAAACACATTTCTAATTTTAGATTGCACACAACGAAAACCATAAGTTCAATTATTTTGTCTACCCAGTTCCTTTTAGCGCCTTTAAGAACGATGGTGCCACCTACCCATCGTTTTTGTTGCTCTTTGGAAGGATCCAGCCCTATATAGCAAATCCATAGAATTAAATTCAAACTATAATTATAACATTAAGAAATTTAAAATTTTATACCTTCGTCTAATTCATGTTTAAATAAAGGTGTGCCTTCAAAATGATTAAAAATAAACCGCGAATCTGTTGGTTTGCCACTATCATCCTTTTTTATATTGATAATGAATTTTTCGAAAGGTTTGTGATTATATTCTGATCCGGAATTTAATTCTAATACAGTTTTTTCGGTAGCGGAAGAAGTCGGACTTTGTGGTAAACCATCGACAACTCTAGTTACAATTCCAGAAATATCAAGTACAATTCCCAGAATTACAGATTCCCAAGGATCGATAGCTAAATTGCAATTATTTAATGTTTGCCTTAAAAGTTTTCGAAGGTGTCCAAGAGAACGACTATCTAACATTAAGTCGTTAGATTGTGGTAATGGAGGAAGGTTGGCCGAATTTAGTTTTGCTTTTTTTTTAATTTCCTGTGAATCACCATTTTCCGTTGGAAGAGCTGGAAGAGGTTTATGAGAAGGTGTGAGAGGTTTTAGGTGAGTAGACATCAAATTTAATCTGATATTCAATGAAATCACAGGTCGGTATAAATCAAAATTTTTGACATATTCTTATGGCAAA